AGGGAAATGGATGGCCAGGGATCAGAATTTCTCAGATAGATGCAGGAGCTGGCAGCTGCCTCTGGCTTCAACCAATTAATTGCACAATAAATGTAACATGCCAGAGGCCATGTGCTTCCTAGACTAGAATATAGTCTCACATGGATCAAGTCCCCTTACATCAATTTCTTTGAATTAAGACCAGGGTGTTAAGTCAGTATTGGAAGCTGACTGTGGGGCCCATAGAAAGCCTTGAACACAGCCCTGATGTGCTCTTGGTTACTTAAGCCACAGAGAAGGTGGGCAAACACAATCTCTGTCAGCTACCACCTATGTATCATCTCCACATTCAGTGTTAGACACAATCATTTGCAATAATTTAGCCTAGGAGTTATAGTACTTTGTTTGAGAGAGAGAAATCATGTTTGCCAGAAATCTGAAGGTTAAAGGCAGCATTTTTGGTGGCTGATTCTACCTGGTCATTCAAGTTTAGTGAAGAGGACCCTGAGGCTTCTCACCATTTTGACAAGTTAGGTCTATAGGGTGGATACAGCTTCTTGCACAGGTCCAGTGCTGTGAGCAGGGAAGTCTTGCCTATGTCTATGGCTGCAGCAAGGTTGACTGAGGCATCCAGAATACTGGTTGATCTCATAGGTTTTTGGAGGTTGATGGTTACTATGCTCTCAGTTACTTTGCTCAGGAATGGGAATTTCAAGGTGGGACATCAGCTGGAGAAAACTTCAGGATTAATTGTTGTTTTCTTAAGAATGGAACAGCTTATTTCATGTCTCTGGGAGTTTGGCAAGTGAGTTGCTCTGAAGGCACAGACAGAAATTACATTTGTCACATGATCAGCCCCTTGAAAATGCTCTACTAGAAGAGCAAGGCTGCAGAGCACTCCAATTGAGAGACAAATTAACCCTCATTATATGAGTGAAGTGAAGGTGCTCCAAAGCAGAGTGTCTTCATTAACTTCTGTCTGCTTCAGCAACTGTGCTACTGCAGTCCAACCCTACCCCCAATGCTGTCTCAGGATGGAAGAGGGAGAAGGCAGGAGAGGAAGGTCCATTCTGGGGTTTGCACAACCATACTGGAGGGGAAGGGGTGGGTGGGTTGGATCCCACCACAAGGTGGGGGATTCAAGGCACCCCTCCCCAGCACAGGCTAAAGAAACCCCAGAATGGACCTCTCTCTCCTACCTTCTCCCCCTCTCATCCTGGAACACCATTGGAGCTGGAAGCAGGGGAGAGGGGGGCAGAGCTAGGGGAAGAGGCTGCACACCTAGATTGACTCCAAATTGGAGCTCAGTCCCCTACCCTCACAACCCAACAGCTTGTCTGTTGGGTCAGGAGGGCCGGTCTAACTCATGGTGCTTTCTGTAACACTTCTGTCTGCACCTTGAAAGAGACAGTAACTATTTTCTTTGTAGTGTATAGTATTGTTCTTCACTGGATTTTAGTATGCATCTATTTTACAGATTTTCACAGACTAAATACGTTCTGAAGATTATCCAAATATACCAATAGGGGAAGAGAATGATCACTTTAAGGTGATTTAGGGCTCAATCCTGAGATGCTGAGGTTTTGGCCTTGCAAGGTGTGATGGCAATGGGCCGCCATCATGGGTGCAGGCGGAGGATAGACAGGATAGGGGGGCAACAACACCCCCTCAAGAAAGCCACGGGACGGGCTACTCACCACCGGGAGGGATGGCGGGGTCGGAGCGGGGACCGCAGCAGCAGACGCGGCCACCATTACGGCCATGCGAGCTGGCGCTACACCGGCTGTTTAAACAGCTGTTCCCGACAAGGGGAGCAGCTGAGCCAATCGTGGCAGCCGCAGCGGCTGCCGCGGGAAGTTTAAAAGCCCTGACAAACCCCGCGGTAAGGGGGAAACCAGGGAAGGAGGGAGGAGACATGCAGCACGTTGCTGGTGCTGTGGCTTCCCCGGAGCAGGAGCTCTCAAACAGGCAGCTCTGTACTAGCTCCGCAGCTGGAGCGAGAATTAGAAGCCCCGGCGGGGGCAAGAGGAGTGATCCCTGGGAATTGCCAAGGTCAAGGCATTGATCCGGGAAATCTCCCCATCCCGGAGGAGGAGTATTTCTAGAGATCAGGGGAGGAAAGAAAGGAAATGACCTGAGCTAGCAGCCAGGTTAGCTGGGTTCCAAGACAGGCGGACTGAAGTCGACCGCTGGCTTGGATCCCTCTGGTCGGGAACTCCGGTCAGCAAGAAGGCCGGCGAATAGCAGGCAAGTGACCATCTCACGCACAAGTGACTGGTTGGCGAGTGGACGGGGTGTAGGGGTGGCAGAGCCCCGTGGAACACCTGAGTACCCAATCGTGAGTACCCCCCACGTCAGGTAAGCCCCTCTGGTAGAAGATCTCCACTGAACCACTCCTTCGAATTAGCAATAACATCAAAGTCGTGGCAGGTGGGACGAGGGGAGGGGCTACCGGACGAAGGGTGGTACTGGACGTGAGGCCCACGGACGTCACACAAGGTTTTGGCCTTCGCCAGCTCCATTAAAAGCCAAAGGCAGTTTTTCCCCTCTGGGTAGCCTGCCTTGTGAATGTGAAGTAGGTCACATGGTATGATCTTCAGTACAACACAGGATCAAGCCTTAGAAAAAAGCAATATATTTGATGAGTAACAGAAAGATTGGAGGAAGTAGCTTTTCTTTAAACCTTGATTGTGTGACTAGATTAGCAGTAATTGATGCCAAGATCACAGCAATGTGGAAACATTAAGTTCCTTGGGGAATGGTGCTGGAAGCACAGATTTTATTTATGCTCTCTCCTGCCAGGAAAATCTATAGACTAGTAGCATCAGTTTCACTTGAAACCACAAGCTGCCCCGATAGCTGCAGTGTTTGCAACAAGGGTTGTGACAAATCCACATGTTTGAGAGTCAGAATTGTTTTCCAGTGGTTAACAAGAATGGATGTGTGTCAGCATGTGACAGAACTTGAAAGCAGTTACAGTGAATAGACTGCACATAAGGGAGTTGAACTTACTGTTGTTATTAAACAGTAGCTGGCAGTTTAGGGAAGGACTTGAGACAACTTATCAGAACTGTTAAATTGTCAGAGCACTGGGAAAGCTTTTCCTTCATCTTTCACCATTAAAAAAAATTTACAAAAACATAAAAGATGTTTGTTTTTGTTTTTAGGGTTCATTTCTTCACATTGCTGATTTCTTTATTTGTTATTTTAATCCTTTAGTTGTGACATTATCATCATCTTTGCAGCAACTAATTTAGCTGTCCAAAGGAGACAACTGGACATCCAGCCGAGTTATTTGTAGTAGAAGCTGAGGAGCTCTTTTAATAAAGATTGTTTTCATGGAAATGTCATTTCAGTAGTAAAGAAAATGGAAAAAAATTTCAAATCAAGAAAAAAAAGTGCATGTAATACATAATATGTCCTGTGTTAGTGGTTGGTAGAATTAATCCCTTAGCTCTTGCAAGGCCCATGTTTCTGCCCGAAGTGGAATTTGATCGCCTCCACTGAACAGAGTCATATTATATCAAAGTCAAGTTGTCCATAAGATATATTTGTATCCCTTGATGTGATAGCAGGAACTTTCAACCAATAAAACTTTTTAAACAGCCCATTATTCCCTTGTGATTTTGTTGTTCATTACACAAATGCATGTAAATAAAGACAAAAATATATTTTGAAATCAAATTAATGAATGTTGTAGATGTTTGAGTTTTAGAATATAATTTGGTATTTTTCTGGTTCAGAGATGGCAAAACCTCTTGTTGAAAGGACTATTTCTGGGGGCAAGGGGAGGAACTCCTGGTGGCAAAGGTCAGGGGTTAGGGAGCAGGATTTCTGGTCACAAAGTGGCAACCAGGGAGCGGGGTACCTGTCAAGGGGCGAAGCTACCTACACAGCCCTCAACAGCTTGCCAAAACTTGGTAAGCAGCCTTCCAGCTGAAATCATTGCCCACCCCTGAAGTAGAACCTAGGTAGCATCAGCTCGCGTTCTCTTCCACTGAGCCCTGTCATCAGTCCAACATGGCTCGATGCTAAGCTAAAGAAACTACACTCTGAGCAAAGGCCTGCATCAGGTTCTGTATCCATTCTAAAAGGGGAGTACTTTCTAAGATCACCTCACAAAATGGAGCACCCAGCATTTAGCTCTTCCTTTAAACTCTTGATTAACAGCCCTGAGAATGGGTGACTTAGTGCCATTTATGGACAACATATTTGAGGTCCTACACAACTAACAAATTGGTAACCACTCTTTTCACTTTTAGCCTGGGCTGAATTTGATATTTTAGAAAAGATATTTTCTAATATAAAGTCTGGTGTTGTAAAAGAAAAAGCAAGAGAATAGTTTTAACTAAGCATAAGTAAAACATCAGGCCACAGGACAGAAGCAAGTTTACTTAGAAGTGATGTCTCATCATCAGTTATTCCTTATACAAATAAACTCCAAGCAAATATACAATTTTTTTTTCCTGATTAATTAGTAAAAAGAAGCAGTAAACACAGACTCAGCTGAATGCTTCTCATTGAAAACTTCATTATGTTATATAAGAAAAATAATTTATTTGTAGGAATAGTACAAATGTAAAGCCATTACAGGCAGACTTCTGACGCTTTGTGAAGACCTGCTGATAAGTATATTGTGAAGTGCAGGATCAGCTCTAACCGCCCCAAAATACAAAATTGCACTCACTTCAATCAGGATCAATTACAATTTTTTTATTTTAAATTTAGTAAATGTTAGAAATTTGGGCACAAATCCTTACTTTACTCATACAGAGCTGTCTTCAGTATCAGAGAGCTCTGGTAATCAAGTGCCAGATCTAAGGATATGTATCCATAGCATCAAGTTTGAACAAACCAAAAGGGGTATTGACTATACATTTATGCAGTAGTAATAGCAGCTTGCACAGATCCATTCCCTTCCAAATGTTTTTCTAGTACTCTTATAATGGTTAGGGAGCGTATTGAGCCAGAATAGTTAAGTAACCTACCTGGCTGCACAGAAGACCAAATTAAAGTAAATGTATAGACTGAAAATAGATTTAATTGCACAGAATGGTTGCTGCCCTGTTTTCTTCCAGCTCCAAGTGGGTAAATCAATACTCATGAAGAACAGGAACTGATGGGGTTTGACCTGTAACAAGATCTCCTTTCTTCTCCATGATTCCAGATTGGTTTAGATGCTTTAACAGCAAATTGTTTATTTTCTTAAGCTCTTCTATGTTCTTCCTTTCAAACTCCAGTCTGCTTGACACCTGGTCCATCTTCTTTCCAGTCTGAACTTTAAAATAAAAACGTGTTGTTAAATGAGTTAATTAAGGGTTTTATCATCACAGGGTCAGGACATTTACTGTGCTCAAATACACAGCAAGCTGAAGACAAGTTCAGAAGCCTAGTGGGAGAAAGTTTATATCTGGAAAGCTAACTAAGTACTTTAAAAATCTGCTTTCACTTTTTCATTCTTGTGTAGTCTAATGCAATAACTTCACTAGTTCAGAGTCAATTTCTGAATTCTACAGGAAATTTTCTGATTTAAAGGCTGCAAGATTCACCCTGTGTCTGGGCACAATGGGCACAGACAGAAGTGCAGTTCTCCTCTGTAACTCATTGCTTTGCAGGAAATGTTCTGAGTTACAATGATTCCCCAGACCAAACAGAAGTTCACTGTTGGTTCCACGGGGAAGAAGAATCTAACTGCTGGCTGCAGCTGGTTTCCTTTAGCAATGGCCCCTGCTCCCTCAGCTTGTACAGTTTTCAAAATGGGAGGGAGGAAAGGAAGCAAAGGGAACTTGTTCTAGGGGTTACCTAGCTGGTGCTTGAGGGTGGGGCAGGTGAATTGGAGCCCCCCACCTCAGGGAGGGAGGTTTCCAAGGCACCCACCTCACCCTCCAGCAGAGGCTGAAAAAATCCCAAACCAAACTCCCTCTGCTCCCTTTCCCCCCTCCCATTCTGAAAACAGCTCTGAGGCTGGGAGGTGGTACAGATTTCATAGACTTGATAGACATTAGGGCTGGAAGGGACCTTGCAAGGTGATCAGGTCCAGCCCCCTGCCCAGGGGGCAAGAAGTCTATACCAGACTCTGGAGACTCAAAAGTTACAGAAGATGCTATGTTTTGAAATGTCTTCATCTATCAGATTGACCCCAGATTGGCCATTTTTTATGCAGTCTGCAGCCATGCACTTGTGTTTGGTCATGGCTATAAACCACTTTCTGCACCAAGATTGGGTGAAAATTGTCATTTCTACATTTTTTGGGTGAAAATTATCACTTTTATATCCAATGTTTGTCACAGTTGTCTGTGTCCAATATGTCTCTCCATACTGTTATTACAAAAAATGACCAAAATGTAGAAATAGAACTAAGTCTCATCATTTCCTAAAGCTTAGGCCTCTGCCATCAGAAGTGAGAAAGTCCTATAGATGTTAGTATTCTCTTATCCTCTCTCTGGAATACAAGCAACCTCATTCACATATACAAATAAAGCCAGTACATTGCATGCTTGAGCCCTTTCTCATTAGTCAAAACTTATCCCAAGGTTTTGCTGTTAACTAGAGTTCACATCCAACAGTTGTGTCAATCCAAAGTAAATCTATACTTGCAGATTGTGAATAACATAAAATAGCTGAGAGAATGACCCTAGTACTATAGGTCCAAAAATAAACCTCTACATCTTTTAGAGGCTTAGCCCAAGAGTAACTCCTTTAATAACTGCAGTATCGTGATCCTTAGATATTTTGCTATCTAACCACTAGAGGGCCATATTATTCCTTCATTTCTACCAAACCAGGACCTGCAACAGAGCAAATTTTGAGCTCAGTATAAAAAAAATATAAAGGGTCTTCCCAGACATAATATTAAAGGATGCTCAGAACATCTTGATTTCCTTGGCACTGTTGTGCTTTTTAGTGTGTCCAGAAATGGTGTCCTTGGGTGCAGTTCAAGGTAGAGTAGATGATAATTTCCTGTTATGAAATGAGAGGAGGGAACAGTCCTTTCTGCTTTGTGGCCCATTAATGACTATGATATAGGTAGAGACATCTTGATTTCAAAGGGCCACAAGTTCTTATCGCAACAGAGTTCTCAGTTAACATAATATATTTCATGCTCTATTCTATGCAATAATACCGAGTCAGTGGTAAACACCGAATAGTTGGGTCCCTGGGAATATCTGGAAGTCTGTGGCTGTCGGCTTGACAGCATTACTTTAACCAGCTCAAACAAGCAGCAGTTATCCCCACAAACTGCTACTATGGAACAATTTCAAGCTATCCTCTAATTTTTCAGACTCCTTTTGTTTAGGGATTTTTCTTCCAAATGATTTCCACTCAACTGCTTGCACAGGAACCTTCAGCTCTCTCTGAATAATACAAACTAAACACCTTTCTACACACTGAGTTAAATTCATCCGTAGCATTAGTCCTTCCATGTTAGTGGAATCACACCAGGACTGAATTTTTGTCTGAAAGTGAAAAGGAAAAATTATTTTCAAAACATGTCTTGACAAAACAGTCAGACTGAAAGTACTTGACTTTACAGCCAATGATTTCAGAGATCACTACCTAGCTCTGTTGGTTTATATTTAAACTCCTCTTCTTACCCCTCCAAGGTCAAGTACAGGTTGCTTAAAATCCTCTTTTAAGGTATGGAGTACTGTGAAATACTGTTGCTGAGCTCAATAGATAAAGCAGCATGGAAAGTTAAACTAGCTATTTAAAAGTTGACCTGCCGACATGGCTTAATTCTTTCTTTCCTATCCATTACAATTTTAGCTGAATTAATCCTTATTCCATGTCATGATGGGATGGTTCTAGTTAACCTTGCTGCAATCTTGCAGAAAGAGCCAAACAGGATTTCAGGGCTAACTAAGCAAGTCTGAGTAATTCCGTGGCATGTGTGTCAGAACCAAGCCATATACCAGCAAATATCTGTCACTTAACATTTTGGAAGATATGTATTTCTTCCATCTTGAAAAAAAACATGTATCCTTTTTTTGTTTTGCAAGGAACTTTGCTAGCCTTTAGATGAAATCCTTACTTCACAGCCATTCAGAAAGCAGCATACTGAATAATACAAGAGTCTATGAGTCTGCAAAATTTTTGCATTGAGTGAGGCACAGCTTTTATCTCAAGGAGTAGTGGCCCAGGCTTTTAGATCCAGCAGCCCCAGGTTCAATGTCTGTCTAACGTCGTGATTCTCTACTAGGATACTATAGCACCCCAGGGTGCCTTGAAATCCTTCCAAGAGTGTTGCAGGGTGATGTAAGGTTAGCACTGTTAGGTGTGCAAACATAATTCACAAGATAAATCCAGAGATTTTAAACAGGAATCCATAGTGCTAAAAAGGCCATTCTGGCCTTTCTAATCTTTCTGAATTGCCTGAAACAGAAAAATTGCTCTTTTATTTTTACTTAGTCAAAAACCAAGTGAAAACTAAGACCTGGCAAGGGGTGCCTTTAGTCTAATGAGGTGTACTCCTTGGGTCTAAGGAGGAGTGCCTTGAATTTAGAAAGGTTGAGAACCACTTTCTAATTCAATAATCAATCTTGTGTTACAACAGCAAATTACAATGTAGCCTAATAGCTTTCATCACCTTGCTCCCTTAGGAGCGCACATTGTTTATAAGAGCCTGTTTGTGTTTTACTTACTTATTAAGATTATTACAAATGAAACAAGTGCCAAACTGACAATCAACGTAATGATCAATGTAACGAAGAACACACATTGGCTTCTTATGCTACTCCATGTCATCCAACCATCACCTGTGTTCTCCTCTTCCCGGTCTGCAGTAAGATGGAAAATAATATTGTGATAAGAAATTGTGTTAAGATCATTTAGAACAAATATGACAAAATACCTCCAGTTCTAATCAGAGAGAACCCAGAATACACCTAAGCTTTGGATCTAAGTCCAAAAGTGTATGGCTTGAATTCATCTCTTTTTCTAGATAGGACACAATTACCACATCATTATCAACTTAGAATTTCAGTCAAACAGGAGACTCTTTCAAAGCAGAGGATATGTGAAAATGGCACATCCTTACTCAACAGACCTGCTTCATAGGCATATTCAGATTGATGGCTTTTCACTCCTAATAACCCATCAAAGCCAGTGCCACTGATTAAAAGTGACCTACATTCTATGCACCTTGTGAATCATCAGTCAAATTATTTAATAATTTACAAACAGTTTCACCAGTGCAATTGACAGCAGTGGGGCTGCACAGAGGTCACTGAATTTGGCTCTCAAAAAACTTTGTTTCTTATGCTATTGCACAAGAAAGGAAAAAGAAAAAAAAAGTTTTTTGTATAGATTCAATGTACACAGTGCTAGAAGTTAATATATATTCCAGCTAGTTGAAACATTTTTAACAAAACTATTTTCATCCAACAATGCTGTTTCATTGGATCTGAAACAGTTTGCAAAGACATAATTCCAATAAAGTTTTCATCAAGAGGGTTTCTGAGGTCCAGATTCTGGTCCCTCCCAGAAAGCAGAAGGAGGAGATCCAGACTGAAAACATGACTTTTTTTTTCATTATTTGAAAGGCGATGCTTTGAAATAAATTGACCTCATGGAAACATTAAAAAGGTTTCATTTTTATTTTATTACAGAACAAAAACAAGGCTTGGAATGTGAGAAGTCATCACAAAATGGAACTGTCACCTTCCAGCCAGCTCTAGTATATATAAATTTAGCACATTTGCCCACAGGAGGCAGGCCCACTAGCTATTCATCAAGAAGACATGGGATGGGGGAGTAAAGGGCATCACCTCTACTGAAATCTGAGAGTCAAGTCTGCCTGGTACTTTTTAAAAACTCTGTTGAGTGAAGGGAAAGGTCAGTAAGTGCCATCAAGACAAAAACAGGCCAGTGAGGAGTGGAGATGAACCTCTAGATAGCGAAGACAGTTGGAACAGGAAATGGATCTTCTTTAAAGTCCCTGAATGCTGGCAAGAGCTTTGTATGAATCTGAGTTTTACACTTGATAAGCAAGCTTCTAACCCCATATTTAAGTAACACTTTAACTACTTCTATTTTCTTCTCTCTTTTGGGCTTGTGTAACTTCAGTCTGTCTCAGAAAACTTTCCAGAAAGCTACAGCTGAAATAGCATGTGTTAGAAGTGTGTGCAGGACCAGATTAAGTGTGACATTTAGCTCACCCACCTCTGTAGCTGATGTACTACAACCTGAAAGGAATCATGCATCTATGAAAATGGTATTTCTAGGTTTCACATTCAATGTGACTTTCAGCTGGTGACAGTTTTTCAGGGACTTACATTGTGCTGGTAGCAATAAAGATGGGGAAAGGATGCCTATGCCACAACAGCATTTTGATAATGAGCAAACCTGAGGTTTGAGCAGTTCATAGAACTAGTAAGAGATCCATCTGTGGGAGCCTTTTTGTTTCTCTTTATTACATTTAGTGTGCTCCTGCCTGTGGATAAATTGAAGCCTTTTTAATATTTGGGGCTTTTTGTTATTCCCTCAGCTTCCATAATAAATACATTATGTGCTAAGTGCCAGTACCACAGATATTGCTTCCTACCCAGAATAATAATGATGGGGAGTTGCTGCCACAGTCTCTCAAGCACAGTAAGCTATCAATAGAGTTCTTATAAATGCTACTTGTTTGCTCTGCCTAATGAACACTTCTCACTAGTCAACTGGCTCAATGTGCCAGCCATTGTAAGGAATCAGTGAACAAGGATTCTGGCCAAGCTGCGAACAGTGGGACCATTTTATGTTATGAAGCATGCAAAAATGGCTGTGTGGCTCCTACCAAAACAATTAGAAGTTTTTACATTTTAAAATAGCTTTTAAAATGATTTCTAATGTGTTTGGTTTTGCCAGGTCATATTTAGCTACTGAGCTAAAGGAAGGCCATGTGAACTGCTTCACAAACATTCAAGGCATTATTTTTAAAGCAGTTGAGGCATCTACTGTAGAAAATGGAAACTGATTCCCAGGCATTTTCAATGGTTATCAGGTGAGAAATGCTTACATAATCTAGCAACCTTCTTGTTTGCTCTGTAGCAAAGAGATCCAGGATTTCACACATGACTCAATATTAAGTGGCTGAGGACTGTAAAGAGTACAAACTCTTTGAGCATATATAAATTGTGTCAGTGTTCAGGACCATGAAAATAAGCCCCACCAACTCACTACCACCCTGCATGGGCCACATGCCAATATCATATCACATAATCATTCCTTGTCCTGTACCCAATGTCATGTTCTCAGTCTTGGGCATGCTCATTTGGACAGCATCTGGCATGCTGAGCACTGCTCTCATAGCAGCTACATGACATGTCCTTGTTATGTGGCACATACGGAGTGGCTCAGCAACTGGTGTTTCCTGGGACTAGGGAGGCACCCAGGGTCCCCCACAGGTGATCACTGAGCCAGAGAGGTGCGGGAGGGCCCCCCCAGTGTGCTCCCCAGGGGACCCAGACATGGACCGGAAATACTTCCGGTCTACTTCCAGGTCCACTGCCAAGCACACGCGGGGCCCTCCCGTGCTCCTGTGGGATGTAGAAAAAACATTTAAAGCTATGTCTATGGCCGAATTGCTGATTCTCTGAATCAGCATTGAATCTTCAGATTCAGTCAAATCGAATCAGGGACAGTGATCTCAATCAACAAATCAAAAACTGTCCCTGATTCGGGCTGAATCTGAATACGACCCATTTTGCATTAGGAGACATTCCTTTTGAGAACACTCTACCAGTGAGGGCAATGTCCATAGAAATCTCCAAGCATTAACAGCCATGTTTAAAGAGTCACAATCTAAAACAATTTGAAGCACTTCAGAAATGGATAGAAAAAGTGCACACACAGGACTGGTCCCATCTGCTGCTGAAATACAGCTATTAGTCGGCAACTCCTGCACCCAGCAGCACTCAAACAACCATATTTCTGAAGTGAAGGTTGCTGCTCAGAACAACTACAGAGGAAATCTAGGTGGGCAGCACAGAAATAGTTTGACTCTTAAACAGATTTATTATATGCTCACACCTTTTCACTAAAATGAGAACACTAGGAAGGCCTATATGAGAAAATAATATGATAAATGTCTATCATTTTTAATATGGAATCCTTCCATTGTGTCTGGCAGCTGATGCCATTGTAGTTATTAGCTTTAGAAAATTTAGGACTCAGTAGTAGAGCTATTTGCAAGATGTTCAGCCTCACAGGCTAAGAGGAAGGTTAAGAGCACATATTCCTTATCTCCCATATCCTCCCCAAAATCAGTGTATTTTTAACTCTTCTTGCATCTAAACACAGGTGTCACCTGACATTTCTTCCAGCAATTATCTTTAATGGTGTAGTTGAATGACTAGTTCTACTTCTGTCCCATTTGAAATTCATTTAAATAAGGCTGTTACTGTATAGCTATTCTCCAGATAAATTTCAAAAGTATAAAATTATGCCACTAAATGAAGGATGAAAATGCAGGTTTCTGTATTCAAACCTATTCAAACACCACAATGTGGAATGCAGCCAAGAAACTTTAGCTTTTAAAGTGCTTTCAGATCACAAAGGAGCTGAGCACATTGCTAAAATATTCTTGTCATATAACATATATAAAAGAAGTAAAACCAGGTCAGTGCAATTTTGAAACTGAGAAATGAGCTTGTCTGAATTACAAATCTAGATAGGGTCATAGAGTTCTTCAGGTAGCTATATCAGGTTATCAAGAGCCATTTCTTAGAAGTACAAACAGAAATCAGAATTGTTTCAATTTCTGGTCTTACCCTTCTCCTATCGTTTATATTTAGTGTCTGCAAAAACTACCAGAGAGAGAGAGAGAGAGGTCACCTCATTATTTCTGCAACATAATGGACAATGCCAATGCCTCAGACATGACCTGGATGCTATGGTTTGGAGTGATGTGTGGCTCAGATTCCACTATGAATCCTTTGCCTTGTGGGACTTTCCAACAAGAATCTGCTACCAGTAACAATGAGAGATTGTACTGGTGTAGGATGGCAGGTCTGGTCCAGTATGGCAATTCCTGTGTTTCCCATTTAAAGGGAGCCAAGTATGATGATTTTTGAGAACTATATTTTAACAGAATTTAATGTCTTTTTAATACTAAGACTGACATGCACGTATCGTGCTCAGTCCTTAAGTGGCACATGTTGGCACCATGCTGTTGACATCAATGAAGCTATCATTTTGATTTATATCACCCAGGGATCTGGCCCACCTGCTTAAAGATTTAGTAAAAACATGCCTATGGTAAATAAATTGCTTCCAAATGCCAACTACATGCATGCATTCATTTTTTCCATCACCTGCTGTCTGTTCAGAATAGTTGTTAAACATCATCCAATATACGTACTTAGCAGGTGTTGAGCTCCATCAGAACAAACATTTAGTTTGTTTAGGTTATTTAAGGAATCAACTTCATAAAGCTTTCCTTCTTCTTGTGTATCATTTTCCAGGGCAATTTCCAGAGAAGAACTCTCCATCATACCTAAAAGAAAGTATATGACTGAGTTGAGGATCCTGAGGAACAGAAGGAAGGAGAACATCAGAGTAAGGACCCTGGACTTCAGAAAAGCAGACTTTGATTTGCTCAGGGAACTCATGGGCAGGGAAGGGGAGAGGAGTCCACAGGACAGCTGGCTGTAATTTAAAGAAACCTTACTGAGCGTACAGGAACAAACCATCCCAGTGTCTAGGAAGACTAGCAAGTATGGCAGAAGACCAGTTTGGCTGAACAGGGAACTCTTCAGTAGGCTAAATCATAGAAAGCAAGCTTATTAAGTGGAACCTTGGACAAACAAGTAGGAAGAAATATAAGACTGTTGCTCTGGTATGCAGGGATGAAGTCAGGAAGGCCAAAATGCAACTGGAGTTGCAGCTAGCAAGGGACGTTGAAGGGTAACAAGAAGGGTTTCTGCAAGTATGTTAGTAACAAGAGGAAGACCAGGAAGATGTGTACCCCCATTCAATAAGGGACCCACAACCTAGTGACAGATGATACAGAAAAGACTGAAATGCTCAATGCCTTTTTCACCTTAGTCTGCACAGGCAAGGTCAGCTCAGACAACTGCACCTGGCAGCACAGATTGGTGGAGGTGAGCAGCCAACAGTGGTGAAAGAAAAGGTTAAGGACTATATTGAAAAGCTGGAGGTGTAAAAGTCCATGGGTGCAGATGGGATGCACCTGAGGGTGCTGAGGAAGTTGGCTGATGTGATTACGGTGTTACTGGCCGTTATCTTTGAAAACTCATGGCAATCAGGAGAGGTCCCTGATGAATGGAAAAGGGAAAATAAAGTGCCCATCTTTAAGAAAGGGAAAAGGGAGGATTTGGGGAACTACCAACCAGCCAGCCCCACCTCAGTTCCTGGAAAAATCATGGAGCAGATCCTCAAGGAATCCATTTCTAAGCACTTGGAGAACAAAGTGATTCAGAACAGTCAGCATAGATTCACAAAAGGCAAATCATGCCTGACCAACCTGATTGTTTTCTATGACTAGATGACTGGCTCTGTGGATGCAGGAAGACCAGTGGCATGTGGTATATACCTTGATTTTAGCGAGGCTTTTGCTATGATCTCCCACAACATTCTCACAAGCAAGCTAAGGAAGTATGGGTTGGATGAATGGACTGTAAGATTGATATCAAACTGGCTGGATCATCAGGCTCAGATAGTAATAGTTAATAGCTCACTGTCTAGTTGGTAGCCAGTATCAAATGCAGTGCCCCAGGGGTCGATCCTGGGGCTGGTTTTGTTCAGTATCTTCATCAACAATCTGGAAGATGAGATGAAGTGCATCTTCAGCAAGTTTGCAGATGACACCAAACTAGAGGGGGGGGAATTGATATATTGGAGGGTAGGGTTAGGGTTCAGAGAGACCTAGACATATTAGAGGATTGAACCAAAAGAAATCCCATGAGGTTCAATAAGGACAAATGCAAAGTCCTGAACTTAGGCCAGAACAATTCCAACAGAACAATCCCATGCACCAGTACAGGCTGGGGGCTGACTGCCTGGGCAGCAGCTTTGCAGAAAAGGTCCTGGGGTTACAGTGGGCTATAAGATGAGCATGAGCCAACACTGTACCCTTCTTGCCAAGAAGGCTAACAGCATCCTGGGCTGCATTGGGAGGAGTGCTGCCAGAAAATCAAGGGAAGTGATTCCTCCCCTCTATTCAGCACCTGTGAGGCCACATCTGGAGTACTATGTCTAGTTTTGGGCCCCCCCACTACAGAAAGGATGTGGACAAACTGGGGAGTTTAGCAGAGGGCAACAGAAATGGTGAGGGGGGCTGGGGCACATGACTTACGAGACTCGACTGAGAGAGCAGGGGTTAGTTTAGAGAAGATAGAGGGGATTTTAATAGCAGCCTTCATCCTTAAGGGTGGTTCCAAAGAGGATGTAGGTAGACTGTTCTCAGTGGTGGCAGATAACAGAACAAGGAGCAATGGTCTCAAGTTGCAGCAAGGGAAATTTAGGTTAGATACTGTATTAGGAAAAACTCTCTCACTAGGAGGGTAGTACAGCATTGGAACAGGTTACCCAGAGAGGTTGTGGACTCTCCATCAATGGAGGTTTTTAACACCCAGCTAGACAAAGCCTTGGTTGGGATAATTCAACTCGGGATGGTCCTGCTTTGAGCAGGGAGGTTGGATTAGATGACCTCCTGCAGTCCCTTCCAACCCTCATTTTATATGTATATTCTATATGTAAAAGTGCCGGGTATTGTTAAGGGGTATGATACTGTAAGGTCCTGATCCCCTTCAAATCAGTTCTACCAGGGTTGGGCCTGTACAAACTGCAAGAAACTCAATATTTTGGTTCATTGTTATACATTTCTAAGATAATATTTCATTGCAACAGCAGTTTTTAAAGCCTATTCTACCTCACTTGCTCCTATGCTGACTCAGGCATTACTTACTTACTTGTATACTAATCAAGCTGTGGTGTGTACTGTAGTAAAATCATAGAAAATGAGGGTTGGAAGAGGCTTCAGGAGGTCATCTAGTCCAAACCCCTGCTCAAACCAGGACCATCCCCATGCTGAATCACAAAAAGGCAATAACAACATTTTCATTTGTTTTAACAAGCCAGGATAATACCCATGGTCTCTGCCCTAAATCACAATCTAGATATGAGATGGGAGGGGAGGCCAAGAATTTCAATGACTAAATCATAAGCTTACTTTATGCATCTTGCTGCTTCAAGATGTGGATTTCTTGTCCAAAACCGAAATTATGGTAGGTAATTAAAAACTATAGCATTGCAGTAACGGCTTTTCATTGCCAGCTGTAGTTCTGGTTGCCATAGGCCCTAGTTTTGAACAGGTTCTGAACTGGTAGCAAAGATCTGGGCCATCCCAAAGAATGGGAATTGATTCTTGAGCCTTTTATTCCCCCCTTTACTGTTAAGAAAGTGTTAGTTAGTCTGATAAATTTTCTGCTGAGGCTGGATGTCCTCTGTGATAAAAAATTACACCATGAGGAAAATGTAATTTGAATGTTATTTTTTGACTGTACATTAGAAAAAACAGAAGTCACAGAGGTATAGAGGAAACGAACAAGTTTTGAGGTACCAGCATTTTGTCAAAGTTGCATACTCACATTTGACCTCTCTCATAGTTTGTAAAAGACTGTTCAGTGTTACCATTTATCATAACTTATCACATGAACTCAAGGCATTCTGGGTACCTATCAAAAGCAGAGTTTTATAGAATCATAGAAGATTAGGGTTAGAAGGGACCTCAGGAGGTCATCTAGTCCAACCCCCTGATCAAAGCAGGACCATCCCCAATTAGATCATCCCAGTCAAAGCTTTGTCTAGCCGGGTTTTGAAGTTCTTCAAACATTTGCTCCCTCTTAATTTAGAATTATCAAATGGGGCCAACAAGCTTCCCGACTCACCCTTTCCAGAGTATGACAGCCTGAGGAACAGGTTCCTTCCGTTCTAATACTTGAATAGGCACTTAGGGAACAGCCCAGTTTTTCCAACTGAGACACGTGCCCAAGAGGATACTCATAATACTCCGTCTCTTTCCCAAGCTCCGGCAGCTAGCCAAATAACCACTCACTGAATTCTCCTGACTATATTGCTTTTGAAAATGGGACAGAGGCTTGTAAGGGAAAAGCGAGTTTATGGATGGCTGTGTAAGTGCATGGATAGAAAAAAAGTTTTTAACTGAGGGCAAGGGACACAAAAACCTCCTGTTCCCATTCTGAGCTATTACTGTAAGTTACAAAATCAGATAGAGAAACAAGGATTGCAACTAATTTCAGGCCAAATGTCTTGTATCTACTTTTATTCCACTGAAAGGTCACATGTGTAAGTGCAGCTTTAACTAGCTACATCATCCTTGCTATCTTTGCTCTCTACACATGAGCATAGCTGTAGCCAGCTGGCCTCATTACAGGACCCAATGTTTCAGCAGCAGTAATGCAGCCCTATAAAAATTCAACACTTCTCTCACACCCAGGGCCCTTGTTATTTTTAGCTTCAGAGGGGCAGATGCTTCTCCTAAACTTTTTTCATTTTGGTTAGACCTTCATGCAACATTAGAGAAGACTCCTCTAAGTCCATAAGCTCTAACAAATGTGAGTACTTTGGTTTGTTTTTAATTTTAGGCTTGTGAATTCACAGGTTGCAGATTTTCACGTTAAATATTTAACATAAATTTCCTCACTGGGACTTCCATTGCTATAAATAAAATTACTGTTCTAAAAATTAAATCTGTTTTATGTTTGTTTTCCATTTCAGCATCTGGTAACAAGACAGTAATACAGACATATCACTGGACCTATTAATTAGATTCAAAACAGAGCTACTCTAAACCACAAGATTGAGTGAATCACTGTAATTTGTACTTTAATCTTGCTTAGACCACCACTTAGATGCTGTATCATCAGAATTAAAACATTAAGGTAAAAATTAAGTTGTTTTTGGTAAAGTTACCACTTGTACAAGAAGTTCCTGAAAATTCTTAACATACACAAAGATAAAAACAAATTCATAGGATTTACTAAACAAAAGTATTATTTACCACTTTACTACATTCAGCTAAATCTCCAGTATAGAAGAAATCATACAGTACTGACCACCAGGAGAGAACTTACTTTGTTTCCCCTGCTCTTTTAAACCTGTAAGCTGTAGACTTCTACAGGACCCATGAACTCAGCTATGAAACACACTATCCCATTCCATCTATATTTAGTGTTCATTTTGGCCAAGTAATCTAGTTCCCAAACAGCAATCTGATTAAAAGAAAAGAAAACAACCCACATAACTTGTTTACTTACTCAACCAGAGTCGCTCTAAACCAGGGGTGGGCAATTATTGTGTGTGGAGGGCCGCTTACTGAGTTTTGGCAAGCCATTGAGGGCCGCATGACAGGCAGCCAGGGGAAGATGAATATTAATTTTATAAATTTTTTAGGGGCCCTGTGGCCCAGATAGAATGGCCTGGCAGGCCACATCCAGCCCCCGGGCCGCATTTTACCCAACCCTGCTCTAAACTGTTAATAGGTGTACTGGCAAGATGGCAAACTTTAACACCTGCTTTTTATATCAAGGTATTTCACAAATCTTTTACATTACGTTGCATTTTTAAAACTGAGATTGGATATGCACAGAAATGAAAGCCTTTTCTATATTATTCTCATTAAAAAATTAAATGTATATATTCAAGAAAAAGATAACACCTACTAAATAAAAAATAAACTAACTAAACGTTTTATTATGAAAATGAACAGAGGTACCCCTCATAATTCATTTCATTTTTCCAGATATTAGATTGTATAGATAAACATCACCAGAATAGCAAATAGTGGTGTTGATGTCAATACAAGCCAAACATAGGGTGATGCAGCTGATAAGGAGCAGTGGTTCTAAAACCGTATTCTTAGAGCACTATTACAAAGAAGAATCTGTAAGTGTGGAATGCAAGCTATGTCAAGTGCCTAAACCATTTAGTCAGCTCTATAGGAGATGTACAGACATTAAATAAACTGGGAGCTGATTGACTAGGCTGCAGTACTACAAAAAGGCCTAGGATTCCAGTGCATCATAAGCAGAATATGATCCAACAATATACTGGGGTGTATTAACAGCAATGTTTCTTGCAAACCAAGGGAAGTCATTCTTCAATTTTGCTTGGTACCAGCAAGGCCCCACCTGGAGTACTGTGTCCAGTTTTGATTCCTACACTTTAAGAAAGATATGGACAGATTGGAAGGAGTCCAGTGTGACAAAAAATTAGCAGGAGTCTGGAAAATGATTTAGGAAGAACTAAGAGTACTTAATCTGGAAAAGACTAAAGTGGGATTTTATAAGTCTTCAAATAACTGAACAGTGATTATAGAGAGGATGGAGATGGGCTTGTCTCTGTGGCTGCAGGCAACAGAACTAGGAGCAATGGCCTCAAGCTACAGCCAACCTAAGTGTCCTCTGGTGTTAGGAAGAACTTTCCAGGGACAAAGATTCCACAGCTTCTCCATGTAACTTGTTCCAGTGCTCGAGCACCCTCAGTCAGAAAATTCAAGCACAAGTGCAAACGAACTCCTACTCCCACTTCCTACCTCTCCCAACCAATATCAAGGACCTCATTTGCAGGCTCCAATCAATCACTGTATTTCTTGTCTGCTCTCCTGCACTTTCAATACCTCACAACACTTTTGGTCAGGCCTGCTCTACAACACTCCTTGCTCTGACCCTCTCTTCTGAGTAACCAGAAAGTATCCTTACTTCCTGGCTTGCCTCTTATATGGTCCAAAGACAAGACAGAACCATGAACACTGAGTTTTCCTAGCTTAGGGGCTCTTGGGAAAAATAACTTCAACCTGACAATATGCCAGCACCAGTAGGGGCCTTATGCTGTATGTTGGGAAGACGCACTGAGGAGGGGCTCACTAAAGCAGAGAAAGTGGGGTGGCAGTGGGAGATGCCCACAGGGCCATGGCAGCAGCAGGGCTTGCCCAACAGCAGTGAAGCTTTTACACTGCTCACATAGCAGCAGGCCCAGGAAGCCTGTGCACTTTTGTGGAACATAGCCCACTCAGCATGCAGCGTTTAGGCTGGACAGACCAAACCTAATTAGCTTGCAGTTAACATTTGCTTATTGCTAAAGCACAGCTACAGAATAATTAGCACAATCTTCCACAAGTTTGGGTCTACAAGGAAATTGATTCAGCAAGTTAGACATTGTTTTAGACTGACACAATTAGAATAAAAGTATTCAGAGCTAGATTGGCTTAGGAGTCTGAAATAGTCTTAATGGACTAGCAAGTGTTATTTTTGTTGCATGATGGGAAGTATAAAACTGTTACAAAATGGAAATGTCACACATTGTGCTGGGCCAGACATTCAGGGGTTCACTGCTATGTATGGGGAAAAAAGTGGTACAAGAGCATTGGCAGCACAGAGGCCATAACAGTGCCCTGCAGCAGTTCCCCCAGGGACAGCAAGACATGAAGCATGGTGCTGATTAGCTATCCTGTCAGACTCACCACCACCACCCACAGCCAACTTGCACCAGGACTGCAAAGCTGTTCTGTAGTCAGAGCAACTTCTTTTCTCCCCAGATCCTCACCCCAAGCCCAGAATGAATCCAAACAGGCCCCAATACCCACTATTATAGCAGAGGCATGTTCCTCCATGACAGGAGTCATAGCTTACCACTGCCTCCCAAGACTACTTTTGAGAACAGAGCAGTGCACTGAAAACACAGTGGAGGACCAGCTACCCCTTGCGACATTGTGCAACTGAGCATTGCTGCATGTTAGTTTTTTGCTATACAACTAGCAGTTTCAACCCATAACTTGTCAGAGGTTTACCTTCCCCCCCACCAATAAATTGTTAACATCCAGCATGTTATTTGTTGTATAAAAACCAAACAAAAACAAAAAAAAAAAGCAAGCAACACATTCATTGAGTTGATTGTTCAGAATTACTGAGCTCTGGTAAGTTTGAGTACACATATGGAAAGAATGATAACAAATGTATATAGTTTTTCCATGTATAGAATCTAATTGCCGGTGATAACCTTAGAAATGTAAAAGTAGTCTTAGATTTGGGTAAATACAGTATATTTAAAGTGGTAACATCAGACTTTAGCTTCATTTGCTCACTTTTGCTTTCAGAAATGAAGAACAGCCAACCTTATTCAAGAGAGAGAGAGTTTTGAGTGAGAAAGATCTTTATTCCAAAGGTTAAGCAGAGTCTTATACAGAGTATGTAGAAATCTGTGCATCAAATTTAGGCAAGTATGTTTTTGCTACTACTTCATTAAACTGCTGATAAGCTGGACTTTATGACCCCTGTACAGGGCAAAGTGTGACCCTGCTGGACAATTTCAGTGTCCATCTGCCAGTTTAAAAAGGATTAAAATCCATCAAGTATTTTATGAAGCAGCAGCTCTTCCAGAAGCATATCCATCTTCGTACATTACTCCTATTGGGAATTTGCTCATTTGCTTTAGCAATCAAACAAAGGAGCTGAAATCACACTGTTTGGGCAGTCTAATCCATTTAAACTTTCAACACCATGGAAAATTGGGCTGTTATCATATATACTAATTTCATAAGTGATTGAGCCAAGTATTACAAAATTATTTTCACCCATTTCAGATGAATCCTATATACACGCACAACAGATACCCAAGTACACAATTAACATGCATTATATTTACAGATACTATACACTAGACATAATCCCTGTGCAAGGAAGAGTAAACTATGTGGCTATACAAAGTTAAAAAAACCCAACAAAATAACCTCATTTGGAAGTCAGCTACATTTGAGAAATTAAATTATAAAAGACTTCAAACTTGTAACCTAAAGAAAAGGCTTCTAGAAAAATTCAACCACATCTGCTCTTTTGTCACGACATTTGCTTCTAGCCTTTGTTCGAGCCTTGAATGCTGCAGAGTTGTACAAGTGCTAAAAATGGAGAGAAATGGCAAAAGTTAATAGAAAAGTTAAGAAAAAAGTAACAGCTGGTATTGCTGTGGTACACAAATTCATAAGCTTAACAGGACAAGGAAGGGCACAGGTTCCAATGTTTAACTGTTAAACCAGTTAACTCAGAATGGCTATTAAATTGCATCAAATTAACTATTTCCTGCACTATGCCAAGACTGGTGTTCAGTTAACTTTATTAAATGAACCCAACTTAACAAATTTAAACATGTAAAGATGCATCCAATCCCCTAACAATAACAGGTATTCATCAGTGCTTCCTTAACCCCAGGCAATGTCCATATAAGTCTTGTGTTTTTCTTCTCTTCCTTTCAGTCTGGCTGTAGCAAAGCAATGGTTAATGTTAAGCTTGTATTTCTTCACATCCGTAAATTTATTCTTTTTCGACAGATCTCTGCACAATATGAAACTATCTTCTACTCAACACTGCTCTTACGTTTTGAATTTATTCCTAATTGGTTGTTCTTAGCTCTTACATCTCGCACTTTCCTTCACTATTCAGAACAAAAGTTTCTCAAACATCCTGGTTTGGAGGCAGAAGATTAAGCAAATTCCAAAAGTTTCCACTAAAATTATGTAAGCACTTGTGTAAAAGTTTAAGACATGAGTAGCAACTCAGGTTGTCAGTAGGTCTTAAGCTCTTAAAATTCACTTAAAACAAAGTATTTGGGTGTTTTTGAATATTTTATTCCCTACCTGACAATTTTACTATTGCTTTAAGACAAAAAGGTACAATTTTAGTAAAAGTGAAGTTAGTTTTGCTTCAGATATGGCACATAGTCCTAACTCACCTACTGACTGGCCTCAAAGTACAGTATTTTCTTTGGTGGTATCAATTCTAAAGCCTCGATCTCTTACACCAAAAATTCACAGCCAAAGTCTGTCTTCAAACTAACAAAACAGCACAGCATCGGCTTACAATTATTAGTGGTTACGGTTAAAAGATAAAATTTTCCCACCAGAAAGTGTATTACTTTAAAAATGGGGAGAGCCGACTCACTGGGAGTCAGACACTAAGGTTCAATTGTGGGGGGGGGAGGAGAGACGATGGGACACCACACACAGACACAACACACTGGGTGTTTGGAGTTTAAACAGTTTTTTTTTTTCTGGCATCAAACAGCAGCAGCTCTAGATCTGGTTTCATACACATAACAGGAGCTGCTAATTGCATGCACAAGGTTGGGGGGGGCGGAAAAAAAGAGAAGAGGGTTGTTTTTGCTACTAGAGCCACCCCCTGCCCTAGGCTGGACATAGTCCATAAAAAGGCACCCCATAGTCCAGATACAGCGCAGGATAGGAGAGAGAGCTTAACGCTCCAGTCTAGATTTTCCAGTTCTAGATCTCCCACCCTAACAATAAACTGAAAGTGACTAGCTTGATGTTCCCTTAAGTACCACCTGTTTGAAGCTCAGTATTGAAAAGTTTGACTCAAGAAAAGAAGTTTACTATGTACTATCAAGTTAAGTGCACGTGATACAATTAGATTTAATGACATACCCTTTCAAACCGGGGTATCTTCATCGTTTTAAGGGTTGCTGCATCAAGCATTACTGGCGGCCCAAGTTCGAACACATTTCGAAGAAATTCATTTGACTAGAATTAAAAGATAAAGTATCATTTAAAGTCCTCCTTAAATCAGCATCTTCAAGAAATCTTCAGACACTAGATAGTTCCCATGAGCCTAGTCAGTGCTGAATTATTTCCTCCCCAACACCCATCATTTTGTCAGGGAGAGGTGAGAAATCAGTTCTTCCTTGCATAAAATAGGACTTGGCGCACAGGCCGTTGGGGAGTCATGTGCCCCCAACACGAGGCTACTTGGACAGTTCAAGTGTTGGACATAAGTCATTTGGACTGATTTCATACCAAACAAAGACCACTTCTGTCTGTGAGGAACATTTTCAAATGGCCTCTTAGAGCTGGCTAATAGTGGAGAGTAACTCCATATGAAGGGGCTTAATTTTCACTTCCATTTACAATTTTGCAGTGTTACTTTGGCACCATTCACCACATTTAAAAAAAAATATGAACATGCAGCTTAGAAAAAAAAACAAGAGACACTGCTGATAGAAAAAAGAAAATTCTTTCATAGACTGTCAATAGTTCAAATTACACAAGCCACCACAACATGAAACAAACAGCAGCTCACCTGCAAGTGATACTGCATCCCTGATCCTAGGATCTCCTTGAAGGTGTAGTATGTTAGTTTTTTAACCCAGCAGTCAATATACATACGCTCAGGTCCAAATTTAACTGTCTCTGTGGTAAAGTCACGCTCCTGTCACAAATCAAAGGAAAAATGTCAAGAGAATAATCCTGAAACTTACATAAGAGTTACTAAGAAACAAAAAGTAGCAGAAAAAAGTTACATTAATCACTTTGAGTACATTTACTAATTAGTAAAAATTGAGAAAAACCCCAACATATTACTCTTCTAAAAAACCCAAGTGTAATAGTGTATAGTGTAGTAGGTTGATTTCACTGAGTATAGGGCAACATCTACAAAACATTAAAGTAAAAGGTTGATCCAAGACATGTATATGATACTCAAAATTAACATTTAGTCATTATCACCAGCATGAACAGTTTTCCTGGCTCTTAACTATGAATTTGGGACTGCAAATAAGATTATGTGCATCTCAAAAGATTTCCAGAGAGCAATTCAATATGTGCTGATAGCATAATGAACTTCAAAGCTTAAGCTCCCTTATGCTGCATTTGAATTAAATTCACACCATCTATGGATGTACACTGCTTAAGGGTTGCCAAAAGCCTGTGTACATGAAAAGAATGTACTTACTTACCTTTAATCACAAAGCAAGTGTAAGGGCAGAGTGAGAACAATTATGCCAAATTAAGTAAAGGGGAAAAAAAAGGAGATACTGCAGATAGGCTGATGCATACTGTTCCATATATCCACTAATAGCAACTGGAAGCTACACTTAGGAGCAGTTTTGAATGTTTGTCCATTTCTAGCAAATGGTGCAGATGTTTCAATGAATAAAGCATAATCAAGTATTTGGATTACTGTATCTACAATGTGTGCAACTTGGTACATTCCACAGATCAGTCTTTATAAGTCACTGCAGCATACCTCTATAGCTCTGAGGACATCTCTGAAGACAGAGCGCTGCTTTCTTTTATCTACTTTAGCACGGTGCTTGTTTCCATCTGTAGCCAGAGACCTTAGTTTTTGTGACAGAAGTTCCATGTCTTCATAAAAGAAATCCTGGCCAGAGAAAAAGATAACATTTCAGTTTCTCTATATAATTTTGCTCATAGTACAACAAGGCCATTTAAAGTGTCAGAACTTGTTATTCCCCATGTATTCTTATTTAACAGAAGACAGGGTAGATTTGCAGCTTACAGACCAACTAAGTCAGCTATGCATACATAGCATAAGCTTTCACAAACTCAAGCTCCTATCCAGTTTAGCTGGTCTTCAAAAGTGCAAGTCTACCATGCCTTCTGCCCAATGTCAGACTAACACTGATAACTACCTCTCTCTACATAACTATAAGAAATATATCAACACTTCTTTACAATTGGAACTACACAGTAAATATACTATAAGACTTGAAGTGACTAGGGTCCAATTTACCCAAGAAGTGACATCTTCAGTGCCCCAAATTAACAATTATTAACAAGCAAAGTTTCCTCTGCTCAACTTCCTGTTCCATAATTAAGGGGCTCTTTCAATTTGTCAGAGCCTGTAAGTTAAGTTTCACCATGTCATAGGGCTCTGACACAGGGAAGGAAAATATTTGTTGAGATGGAATTCTTATTTTGGGGGTGCAGGTGGATTGTTAAGGAGTACTGGCAGCTGATTTACCAAATGTAATAAAATTCATTAGCTGTAGTTTTGGAAAGGGAGTCTAGGAATAGTCCCATTCTAACTACTGGAAATTCCAAAGGCCTAATGCAGCAGTTTGAACTCTTAAAGATTAATTTTATGCAAACTTAGTCAGGAACCATCTATTACGTTTTTGAACTGGGCCTAGCAGCACTAAGTACTTCATCTTAATTGCAATCCCCTGTAAGTACTGTACTCAGTACCTTTTAAGTTAAGAATTAAAAGAAAACATTTTGGTTGCTTGCAGCTACAGTCTAGCTCAACAGTCAAGGATCAAGTCTGACATTCATTTTGATAGACCCAATCATTTTACTGTCACCCTCTCTCCAAAGTGATGTCCACAATTGAGACTTGAAGTCAAATCCCTATTTAGAAGGGTAACAAAAGCAGTACACTGTTTAGAACTATGCAGACTAAGTGCACTGTGCATCCTGACTCATTTACAGTTATCCTTTCCCTGTTGGACAGCTTTCTAGCTTGGTCAAGGCTGATCTACTTTGCCAGGAGCCCTTCTGGCAGCCCTCCCAAGCTGTGCCCAGTATTTTCTTCTGTGCTGTCAAAAAAAGTTAAGAAACAAGGTATATTATCCAAATGCAATAAGAACAAGCAAGATTGTGCTAAGTATTTAGTCTCTTAATATTAACTTTCAGACTAGTTTAAAAGGGGCATTAGGAAAGCAGTAATGCTAGTCTTGCAAACCCTAAGAAGAGTTAACTATTCACATCATGTTTTGAAAAGGAAGTCTCACTTCCTAAAGTTAAACTGGCTCCAATCTACACCTATAAAATGGCTCAGTAAGAGAATTAAGTGGACTTGTATAATGTAAGGATTAGCCAGTCTATTCTTGGGAATAGTTTAAAGCATCAAGAAAACAAAGCCACATAGAAGTCACTTACAGTAATCTCAAAGAGTACACTGTGGCTGTAATAGCATCCAACAGTGCTTCTGGAACTCTGTGGTAAGCATGAAGGGTTCAGTGGCAAGTATTAAAATGTTCTCTCCCCCTGCCTCCTAGTTTATTGGTACCTGACATTTACATAATTTTCTTTGCATTGTAACTCCCTCTCAAACTGTTAATTAGAAAGCCTGTATGTTGTTTTGAAGCTGAAATTGCTTAACTAGTTTTCCAGAGACCCTGGACTATAACCTAGAGGTAGCAGGATGGCTTTTGTAAGCATCTTTTCCAATTCAGATAATAAACGGAGGCAGAGTATAACTATCCTAAACTGTTCTGAAGTCTTATTGATTGTACTGAAGTAATTTTCCACCCAGAATACGGCCAATAGATACAGGGGACTTAGTCATTTATTTGGTACAATATATGACAACTGCAACCATCATTCCAATGCAAGAACAGCATTGAACTTAATTCAGTAAACTTACAGCATCCATTTCTCGTGCTAGTTCAAATAGAAGAGCCAATGTTTCCCCAGCAGCTATTCTCATGTTGACATCATCACAGGATAACAGGCTTGGAAGTTTGTGTAAATGCCTAAAAAATAGCTATGTTATTTATATATAAAAGTATTTTGTACAATGAAACAATGCAAAGGTAAAACTGATCACCAGGTGTTGTTTTCAGGAAAGGCACGCACATTTCAAGTTTTTTCTTCACTTCGCTCACTGGGCAGATTGTCAACAGCAGTGTCCATGTGAGAAGAGCATTGATGTGTAGCATTGTGCTGTGAGTACTGGAGATGCCATTGGTGTCTCTTTCCTTCTGATAAGATTTTGTGAATATGTTCTCCAGGCATTCCATAGTGAAGTACAGTTCCTATATTTATTTTTTTTAAAAGAAGTGTAAGTGGCTAAAATGTAACAGTTAATTTCTATAAGAAATGTTATAAAATGTTAAGCATGTATACTTAACAGTAATATCTTCAGTGACAATGAAACAGCAAATGCCCAAGCAGGTGATACACTACATAGGGGAAAAAAAAAAAAAAAAAAAAGAGGTAGTCAGTGTTTTTGTTGCAGTTTTACCGGGCTTGATAATATCCCTAAACTTCATGTCATTTGGTCTGAAATACTCCAAGCTCAAACACCAAGACATGCAAGTGCCAGAAAACCCCCCCCCAGAACTGCTGGGAGCAGCAGCTTCTGCTTTGAAGTGGCTCTTAGTTAATATTTTGCTATATGCAGGGAACTATTCTAAAAGAATAGGTGGAAGTCTGTCCTTGTGTATCTGAGCTCCACCATCCCAATCACAAATTATATTTTTTCCTCAAAAGATACAGTTCTGGAAAGACTTCTATTCATATTTTTCCCATTTTGAATGTTCATTCCTGACAACTGTCTGCATCACAAATGTATCTACACCTGTTACAAATCAATTTCATGAATTAAGAGGCTGGCAATACACTAGGAAGCCTATTAGAAGCGAAGTTATATAGTAAATTATCCTCCAATTATGAAAGAATTTACTACATTGACAGATCTGTAACAGCACTAGAGTCCAAGAACAAAATTAATCCCAACTGATGAAATGGACTACAGTAGAGGTTCAGTCACCGATAAGGGGCTAGTGTTCTGAGGTAATAAGCGTAGTGGCCCAAAACATTTTTATATATATAGTGCCCTGAGTATCCATCCATCCATTTCCCCCAGGCAAAACAAATGCTCCTGCTGA